CCTAGCAACATCACAAGCAGGGGATATCCACAATGATAGTTGAGCGATCTTGGTTTTCTTGGTATTCCATAGCTGTTATGTAATTTTCAGCCCTTCACCACGGAATAGCCAATTATCAAGGATACCGAATTCGCCGTCTAGTCATTGTAGAGATTCTGATATGATGCTACTGAGACACATCGGCAGACCAAAACACGGCTCCCAATAATATGAGTCGCATCAAATTCTTGCGCTAATTAGATCTTTCATCACTGCCAGTTAATTTCAGAAAAGTGTGCTTTTCGATATGTCGTAACAGAAACCAAAGCCTTCCTCCAGCCTTGCAGACAATTTGGTTGTTTTTTCGGAAGCGCTAAGTAAAAAATTTTACATATCGCCGTATATCACAGCAATATGTTTGCTTGAGAGACGCATTTTGTTGGAGAATTAAAACGAATTGCTCGACTTTTAGCTGGCGGAAATTGGAAATGGAAGCATAAAAATTGGGCATTCTTTGCAAGCCGTGGCAATCGTCCATACATGGAGGACCGCATGCACTACATGAACGATCCGCACCTCAATCTTGCCATCTTTAGCATTTTTGACGGACATGGTGGTCCGGTAAGCAGACTTACTTATCGCTGCGCACTGACTGACAGATGTGACGCATTCCCCCGTTAAGCTAGTCTTCCTTTTGGCTTCGACTCCCCGTGCTGGCGTTTTAGGATCAGCTGAGCAAGCTACAATTTCTCATTTGTACTGCACCCCAATCCGCTGCATAACATGAGTGAAACGACTGTAATTTTTCGAATTTTAGCGCTCAGCAACTAAAAATATTCATTGTAACGGTCAAAAATGTGGCAGGTATTTCTTATTTCACCCCTACCTACTACTCTCTCTGTGTTTACAGCTAAAAGATGAGACATAAACTGCGTGCTGATGAGTCCAATCATTGCAAGTTGCAGCGTTGTTCTTACTGTCCTTCAATTATTTGCAACTAGCGCACTCCAGGTCATGACTTTTGACTCAGCCTCTGACAAGCTGAAATAAAGTGGCTGGCACGATGAGGAGTACGTCAGCAATACTCGCAAATTGCTGCTCATTCACAGATAGTTGCACGGGCAAGGAGCTCGGATGTGCGCATCTGTGAGAGGATTCCAGGAAATGACGTTGCATCGCTCTTTTACTTTAGCCTTTTGTTCGATTACAGGACTGCACATGCTAATACTTATATTGTTCCAGTTTGTATCACAGTATTTGCAAGAGCACTTCTCGGATGCGATACGTCGGCGTCTGTTGCGTGGTGGCTCGGAACGCAAAGCTAGCCTTACTGGGCATCCAGATGATTGTGTGATCGAGGTACACTTCCTTACCAAATTAATTAATTAGTAAAATGAAAAAAAACTTGCGAAATTTTATTAGCTGACAAGCGAAAGTGTGATAGAAGATATGTGACTCTCGGAAATGACGCAAATTTCTTCAAAGGAATGACGCATTTTATCTAATCTCTTCAAATATTTATGACTGCTTATTGCCCAAATCGTTAGCTAGTGAATACAAAGTTTTCTTCTATATGATTTTTCGAAACCGCCAACAATTCCTCTTTTGCCACAATCTTCTGAATGTGCTCTTCCTCAAATAAAAAAAAAACTTTGCTATGGCACTAGGTTCAAGCAAATCAGAACAATTTTCGAAAGTTTGGGATGGAGACTAAGCTGCAGAGGCGCTGGTGGGTGCACTAGGATTAACAAGAACATGCAGACATTCGCACGCAGGCGCACGCGCACGCCAATAATTTCACGCATGTGCAGATAATCTTTCAAATTAGTCTTTCAAAGACTGCTCATGTGCAGTGGAAGCGAAACAAATTTTTCCGGAAGTAAGTCTACGTCCGAAAACAATAAGCAACTACTTACCGGTCCTCCATTCATAACTATTATTTTCATCACCCAGTCTCTGCTTTCCCTTATTTCAACAAAATTACCCCGTAATTCCCACTTGTCTTCTCTTTTACCGCGCGTTGGCTCTAGTAGTTAAAGCAGAAGTACACTTAGAAGCGAGGAGGATGAAATGAGAAGGAGCGAAATAAATGGGCTGATGGTTGCTCTTTTATCCGAGACTGATATCAAAATTGTCGGATTGGGGGAAGTGCAAAAAGGATCAGTAAAGGGACATATTACTCGGTGAGAAGGATATTAAAATCAATTAGAAGAAGTCTGAAACCAGACGTTCAGCGCAAAACCGCGAACGAACGAATGAGCTCAGAAATCCTAAAACTAGCGTTAAAAATGAAATTGAGTTTCAAATCTAAACATCGACGCCGTTTCTGATTTTTTTTGCTTTGAAATTAAATCGCATTCTCTTCTCCCGTTTGTCGAAAGCTGACTGGACCAGTGAATCGTCCCAGCTGTGATAAGCCAATATTCACAATCTCTCCAAATTATAATGATTTTTCATTACATGAATTCTTGAAAAATTTTTCATGTAATAAACTTTTTTGTGCACGCTTCTTGCCATTTTATCCTACAGTAGGTTGTAACGGCGTACAAACAAGAGGTCCGTTTAGGTTTTTTAAGTCACATATTTCAAAACCAAGACTATGAAAATCAGAAAACTAAGACTTTATAATAGTTTCGAATCGCAAATGAGCTATTAAAGTTAGAATCGATTTTTAAATTACTTTATGTTTTGATCCGTTAGCACAAACTCTGGTAGAATTTTTGTCTTGAAACCCAAAAAAAAATTCCGCTGAGATTTTCAATGTCCTTGTGCGAGCTGATTTCAAATTCTTTAAAGCGCGCCTGCGTGACGCGT